ATTTCTCAGCACGATTTGGGGTTAAGTGAAGGGGCAGCTCCAGCAATTTTAAGCTTTGTGCAGTGTTGGGCGTAATGTGCTGATGGAAAGTGTCCTGTGCAGCCTGAGTGGTTGGGATTGGAGCTGATGACACAAAACTCTCTTCTTCAGTGACAATTGTGGTAGTTATGTTCTATTTGCTGACCTGCCAGGGTGGAAATGTGCTCAAATCAAGCCCCAGGGTGACGAGCCCTTCAGGTTTGCCTGCTCAGGGAAATCAGCTGGGCCCTGTCCTGTGCTGAGACGAGCCCAAGATTCAGCTTGCAGTGCTTAAAACTTGAGGGTTTTCTCTCAAATGAAATCAGTCTGAGAATCAAAGTAAAATTTCCACCCTTCCCCAATCTGGAGGGACTCGTTTGTGTGAGGTTTCAGCAGCAGAAAATGTGAGGCTGGTTCCAGTGTGAGAGGGTTGCTTTGAAATCTCCACAGCTGAGGCTCCTCAGAGAATTTGGGGATGGGAACTTTATTTTTAGTCGTGGTCTAGATTTTCATTGATCTGGGCTGGAAGTGTGGCAGCAAATGAAAGAAGCATTAACACTCAGAATTCAAGAGCAGGGACCAGGCCAGGAGCATTAAATTCTCAGCATCATGACCACAGCCCTATTTGTAACATTAAAAATACATTTGGATGCTGTGAATTTGGCAGATGTCAAGTATCTATAAAACACTTGGTAGAGGGCAGCTTTCTGATGTGAATAACAACATTCAATTGAACTATATATTGGCTAGAATCAAATAAAAATAACATGTTTCTAGCACAACACCAGCAAGCAAATAGAAACCATGGAGGTATTTTAACCATTACTGAGGGAAAAAAAAAACCAGTGTTAGTTCAGTTAATCCCCAAGCAAGGAAACTTCATCTGAAAATTTGCCTTTTCTCCCACTTCACTTTACATTTTCTAGTAACACACAAACCTCTTAATTCCTATTTGCATATTTCCTGGTACTGAAGGTATTTTCTTGCACAAGATTCCTGATGGGATGCGTAAAGAGGTATTTAGAAATTAACATACCCACTAATGAGCTGCTGGTTGATGGGGTGATGTGACAGCTCTGTACCTGGCTGGAGGAGGAGGAGGCTGTGTCCATCTGCAGCACTGCAGGGATTCGGAGAGACAGACTGTAATTCACTGGGCTGGTTTATTTTGGCTGCAATAATTGTTGCTAACAGTGTTTTTTTGTCAGCCTGGTACTGTAAGTCACTGGAACATAACCTTTTAAAGAATGCATCACTTCCAAATTTAACAAACAAGTCACAGTCTGGTCCCACCTCTCGCTTGGGTTATTTTCTTCTCTCCTTTTGCTGCTTGGAAGGTCTGGTGTGAGGAGGTGACACAAGGAATGATGTGTGGTCTGACCTCAGGAGCTGCTTGGGACAGTGCCAAGGAAAGCAATTTTTGAGGCAGTCTCTCAGTGATTCATGGTTTACCTCTGCTCCCCATTGTTTTACACCGCTGCCTTTGGAGTCTTTTGCTGTCACATCTCAAGGTGAAGGAGGTTGCAGAGCTGTGGCTGATTCATGGGCTGTGTTTTTCCCTGCAGCTTTGGAGAATTTGGCAAACAGCAGAGCTGCTCACTGGCTGCCCAGCTCACCTGGGCTCAGGCTGGGAGCTGGGGTTGAGTTTTCCACCTGCTGTGTGTGGTGTGAGCACAGCAGCTCCCACTGCATCAATCCTGCCTGAAAAACAGGGACGGCTGGAAAAACACAGTGGCCTTAAACTGGGGAGTTTAACACCCTTGTGTGTTCCTATCCATGAATTATTTTGGGGACTCACTTCTGGAAGCAGCACAGGCCACATCCCCTCCTTCCCTCCTGCACCCAGGATGTGTCAGACACACTAAACCACAGAGGAGGAATGTGATCCCTGGCTTGTACCGAGCACTCTGTGCCTGGAGCCACTCCCCCCATGGCTGGTCCTGCCAAATTTACTAATTTAGCTGGTCTTTGCTGAATTTACACTGCTCAGAGCAGTTGGGAAGGCTGGGGTCAAACATTAGGGAAAAAGTTTGGACATTACTGGCTGTGCCTCCCAGCCCGGCCCTCTCCATCCCCACCATGGTTCTCAGCTGTGCTGGCACTCAGAGGTTGCACAAAATAGAATAATTAATTCAACTGTTCCTGCCAAATTTACTAATTCAGCTGGTTTTTGCTAAATTTACACTGCTCAGGGCAGTTGGGAAGTCAAACATTAGGGAAAAAGTTTGGACACCCCTGGCTCTGTCTCCCAGCCGAGCTCTCTCCATCCCCACCATGATTCTCAGCTGTGCTGGCACTCAGAGGTTGCACAAAATAGAATAATTAATTCAACTGCTCCTGCCAAATTTACTAATTTAGCTGGTTTTTGCTAAATTTACACTGCTCAGGGCCGTTGGGAAGGCTGGGGTCAAACATTAGGGAAAAAGTTTGGACATTGCTGGCTGTGTCTCCCAGCCGAGCCCTCTCCATCCCCACCATGGTTCTCAGCTGTGCTGGCACTCAGAGGTTGCACAAAGTTGAATAAATAATTCTGATGGGTTAATTGTAGCTTGCAGGCTCAGCTGTTGATTGGAGTCATATGGTGTTTTTCCAGTGTGTCACAACCTTGTTTTCAACATCCTCGTTTCGTACAACCACAACAGATGATGTCTCCAGCCTCTTTACTTCTTCCTGCTCCTCTGCCCCCAGAATGAACTGCAGGAAATGCAATAACTTCACTCCTGGTTGCTGTTTGGGGTGTGTGCATTTCCCAGTTTCCCAGTTGCACTGATGAGGAAAGCAATAAATGAGTGAGGCAAGGTGCTGGGGCACAGCTGGGAGAGCACTGCCTCTCATCCATCATGGCAATAAAAGCAATTCCTGGCCTCTTGATACTGCTTTTCCCTAGAATTTCTGTCCAAAAGAAACCTATTAATAAAATAGTAACAAAAGCAGGAAGAAAATGCTTTTAAAATTCATGATTCACCCTTGTAGCAGGAGCAGAGTGTGAAGGGAAATGCATTTTTTGCCTTCAACGTGGCTGTGGTTTCCCCTCTCTTTTTACAGCTGAAAGAGCAGTCATTAGTTACATTAATAAACTTCTGCATTGCACCTTGAGCAATTAGACCTAATTTCATGCCCTAGATGTTGTTTTCTTATCCCCTAATAACACTATTTATTAAAGATGAGGTGTTTTCTTATATTTGAAATTTGTTTTTCTATTTGCTTTACTCTGTCTTTATAGTAATTGGGAAGGTGATGGTTTTCTTTCATTAGTGGTTAATTTTCTTTATTTGTTTATTGGTTAATTTTCTTTATTTGTTAGTTAATTTTCTTTATTATTGGTTCATTTTCTTTATTTGTTTCCTCTACACCCAGTATTTTACTCTCAGATGCTATGGTTAGAGTATACAGCAAAAAAAAAGTTTAATTGATTTCTTTTAACTGTCTTTTATCACAATTATTAAATATCACCATTGGAGAAATAGGTTCTTTTGAAGAAGCTCTGAATTCCTGGGATTGTGCAGAAGAATCAGCATTTGCTGTTAGTGCTGAAGCAAAGGGAGACAAGCAATTGGCATCTGTGAAGAATTTCAGGCTGAATCTTGAATTTTATCCAGACCATACAAAACAGTTGCTGCTTGCTTAATAATTTAATTATTAATTATTAATTACATTACAGAGTAATGTGCTGCAGGCCTGAGCACAGAGACAGAGCTAAATATGTTGAAAAGAGCATTCTTTGCTCCTTTGCTTTGCACTTAATCCACAAGCCTTTAAATGGAGGAGAAAATTTAATTCTCAGAAGAATTGGAGAGGCTGCTGGGGGCTGTCCAGCCCTCACACATTTTTGTGTGTTCATGTCCCTCAGTGAACATCTGTGACACCAATGCATAAAGTGTTAACTTCCACATGATTCAGAACATTTTTCAGAGGAGACTTTCCTTCCCCCCCCCCTCCACCCCCTCTGGAAAATGAATTATAAACCATCTCCAGCTTTTTCTACTTTTATTATAACCCAGCTATATTCCAGCAAAAGCTCCTGGCAGATAGTTTCCTCATCCATTTCCAAATGAAGATGTGTTAAATTTATTTGCTGAAGGAACTTGTAGCTTGTGCTGTAACCTTGGTCATGGGACTGGATATAAAAGCAGAGGGATAGAAGCCCACTGAACAGCAGGGAACAAAGTGGAGCTGGAAATGTTATCAGGCTGGGCAGGCAGAACGTGTAGAATTACTGCAGAATGCAGATTTTGGTCATGTGATTTTGGATTTTTGGGTTTTGGACATGTGGCTTCCTTCACTGCATCCACGTGTGCTTCACACTGCTGTGCCATGGTTGGGTAAATAAAAGGGACCAGGTGCCCCAAGAAAATAGCACTTAAATCCTATTTTAAATATTAAAAGTGTTTTTTAATCCTATCAAATGGTGAGAGCCATTTCCTGGGCTCCACCTCTTTACCTGTGCTTAGAAAGGGCCAATCCTGCTGCAGGTGTGTGGGAGGCTGAGGTGCCCATTCCAAAGGAATCAGCCTCATGTTTTCCACCAGGATAATGTCCTGTTAATTCAGCAAGGGGTTTGGGCAAGCACTCAGTGTTCTTTATGTGTGTTATTTATTTATAATTAATGATGAGCATTGAGTTCTTGTGGAGGTTTCATTTTTCTGCTCCAAATATCTGTTGATCAGGAGTAAGTTCTACCTACTTAGTATGTCAAAATATATTCCAGTAACCTTAAAGAGGTTTATGCTTTCATAAAATATCTTGATGAAATTTTGCCAAATCATTATTGGAAAGTGGATACTGAAACCCTGGCCCACTCAGGTTCAATATTCCAACGGGGTACATTGACTTTTGTTGTGCTGCTGGTATTTTCTTTGTGAGAAAGCTGCTCCCCTCCAGTGCCCCAGCCCCAGGGAGTGTCAAGAGCAACTGTGCATTTCTTAGAAAGGTGAAAACTGAATGCAGATTTTCTTTCCACTCTGACCTTGTTTCTTTTCCAGGCCCTGGAAGAAGCCCAGAAAGCCATTCAACAGCTCTTTGGTAAAATTAAGGATATTAAAGACAAGGCTGAAAAATCTGAACAAATGGTGAGCAGCACTTTCTTTCTGGCCTTTGAAAGGGAGGGGACACTGACTTTTCCTGGCAGTGACATTTTTGTCCTTGGTGCTGGCTGGTTGGGAATTTCCTGTGTTGAACCCGCGGTGCCCACAGGGCTGCTGAGCTGACAGTCCCAAAGAGGAGAGAGTGGCTTCTTACCTCCTGAAAATTCCATTGCTGGGGCTTGATTTTCAACCAGAATCCTTTTCCATTCCCCAGGTGAAGGAAATCACCAGGGACATCAAGCAGCTGGACCATGCCAAGCGTCACTTGACCACCTCCATCACCACCCTCAACCACCTGCACATGCTGGCAGGAGGGGTGGATTCTCTGGAGTAAGTCTGGGAATTCTTGATATGAAGTTTATGCAGTGTTCTCTATGGGTTTGGCACGGCCTGCCTGGTTTTTTGGAGGGAATTTTGCTCCCAAATCTGGATTTCTGCTGGCAGGTCTGTGTTGCTCTGAGTGACCCCCAGCCTGGGTTGTTGTGTTTAATAATTTGCAGCATTGATTGCTTGTATTGCTCTGTTGATTCTTGGTGATAAGGAATGAGTCTGACTTCATTAAGGAATCCTCATTAGGGATGTACTCTTGGGAGGATTTTTGTCACTCTTGTATCTAAAACTGCAATGAGTTTTGGTAAAGGTCAACTCTAATTTTTATGAGTTTAAGGAAACCTTGCGGCTTTTACCATGTGTAAATTGGGGGTTAAATATTTCCAACAATCCTTTTTGGTTTTTTTAATATGCTTGAGGAACACAAAACCTAGGAAAACACAGTTTTTTTACAGGTTGCATCTGTGAAGTTGCACAGCCTGTTCTTGGTTTGTAGCAAATCCTGCACGAACGCCGGGTCATGAAATGCTGAGAATTAAATTTTACTCAGCCTGCTGTCTCCACTGGAACGATCCTAAAGGATGATATAAAAATAAATTAACTTGATTTTCTTTTTTTTTTTTTTCCCTGTCAGTTCCCTGTGAAAGTTATTAACAGAGAAGTCAAGGCTAATGGCTTTTCAGCATCCTTCTCCTCCAGAGAAGCTTTAACTCACACTTTGTGTGTGATGACGAATGGCTTCACTCGGGTCATTACAGTGAAATAACATTTACTGCCTCCAGACCCATACTGGGAAGTGGATGCATTCAGTAGTTTACATGTTCCTTGCCAAGTGTTGCTTTGACATTTATGGTTTTTTTTGAGGCATTGTTAGATTTGTGCCAGATTGGTTTATTTTAGCGTCGCTTAAGTGAAATTTTAATGCAGCATTGGAATGTTAATGAAGAGCTCTGTGTTTTAGAAAAATAAATGTCAGTAGGGACCAGTGTGACCCAGTGGGGATGAAGTAACCTGTGGAATTACCACCCAGGACTTTCATTGAATCTGCCGTTGTAAATCTTTAATTTCCTCTGCAGGGCTATGACCAGGAGGAGACAATATGGGGAGGTTGCCAACCTTCTGCAAGGTGTGGTGAATGTGTTGGAGCACTTCAACAAATACATGGGGATCCCTCAGATTCGACAGCTCTCTGAAAGGTAAAAGGTTCAAACCCTGAGCACTCCCTTTCCTGCTGGGGAGGAGGGGTAGGAAATGTCTTAGGCAGGTTCAGAGTCTCAAGGAGGTGAAGGTTTGACTTTCTGAACTGGAGTTACAATAATTTGGTGAGGTTTGGTGTGAGTCCCCACCACCCTCAGCAGTGGCAGGTGAAGGCTCAGTGGTCACTAAGCCACCATTTCTCCTCAGTCTTGGCTTCATTTGGGATGTGACAGCTGGGATTTGAGGGAACAAGGTGCTCCCTGTGCTGGGGACAGTGCTGTCCCTGCCTGAGGTGACTTTGATCATTACTGGGGTACTCAAAGGAGTCTCCCAGGCACAGTCATCAATTTTTTGTGGTGCCTCCCTTTGCTAAGACAGCAGCTGGCTCCCTGTGTTGTTTAGTGATGGAAACAGAGTTTGAATGATTTGTTTGTAATGTTTTCATGTAAATCTGTTGGACTTTCTTTATGGCACAGACACCTCTTCCAGAAAACACAGATGGAATCCATGAAGCAGAGCAGAAGAAAAATCCACTCTAAATCTAGAGAAGGGATGGGGCCTTGTTTAACAAAGCATTTGACCATAAGCATTTGCTTAAATGAACATGAACATCAAGGAAATGTAAACATATGTCAGTGCTTTTCTGAGCCGAGGCTGTTGTCTATTCCAACCTTGTGCTCAGAGATTGCTTGCAGTGGTAATGCCCTTTGGGCAGAAACCTGCTGTCATTGGCCATTTTAAGGCCAAATATAATTTAAGCCTTGCTCTAGAATTCTGGCTGGTTTTCCCTTTCTGCTGGATGATTATTTAATACTTTTGTAGTTTGCTGATTGTTACAGAAACCAATTCAGGCTCCTGCTAAAAGTCAGGGTGGTTTCGAGTCAGGCCAGCAAGACTGGCAAGGACATGGAGGAAAACTTCTTTTGTTTTATTCTCCCTTCAAGATAAGAATCTGAAAAGCTCAAGAAAGTCTGTTCCTCCTATTTTTAGCATTGCCTCAGCAGGGTTTTCCTCCCAGTGTTTATACAGGGAGAGCTGCACCATCTGGTAGTGATAGAGGAGGCTGCTGTGGGGTGAAAGGAGCTGCTCTGGGGGCTCCTCACTGCTCCACATCCAGGCAGAAAATTCCTGCAGGGAGGTCCATGGCACCATCATTCTGCTTTTGGAGTTTGACTCCATGGCTGTGTGTCAGGGTCTGGTTTGGAGTTGACTTTTCTCTCTCTTTGGCTTGGAAATCCTTTTGTGATTCATGAAACATCAGAGGAAGTTTGCCTGGGTGGAAGGAAACCTTGCAGCTTGTACTGTGTGTGTAAATTGGGGGTTAAATATTTCCAATAATCCTTTTTGGTTTTTTTAATATGCTTGAGGAGCACACAATTTAGGAAAATACAGGGTTTTTACATGTTGCATCTGTGAAGTTGCACAGCCTGTTCTTGGTTTGTAGCAAATCCTGCACGAACACCGGGTCGTGAAATGCTGAGAATTAAATTTTACTCAGCCTGCTGTCTCCACTGGAATGATCCTAAAGGATGATATAAAAATAAATTAACTTGATTTTCCACATCCAGGCAGAAAATTCCTGCAGGGAGGTCCATGGCACCATCATTCTGCTTTTGGAGTTTGACTCCGTGGCTGTGTGTCAGGGCCTGGTTTGGAGTTAACTTTTCTCTCTCTTTTGCTTGGAAATCCTTTTGTGATTCATGAAACATCAGAGGAAGTTTGCCTGGCTTCTTGCAGGGATATTTTTAGACTGTGAAATTGCTGGGGTTTGATAGCTCATGGATTTGTTTTAATGGTACAAGTGGAGCCTCTAGGATGGTGGGGAAGGCAAGAAATGCTTTAGTAGATGTTGGCACAGACCTGTGACATAACCAATGTCTGTTATATACAATAACCCCTTTATGTGCACTGCTCAAGGAGCAGATTCTGTTGCTTTCTGAAATAAAAAGCCTCTTTTTTTCCTGGTGTGAATGGAGTGAAGCCAAGTATGAATGGGAAACCATGGGAAGGAGAAGTGCCTGCTTGGTGCTGTTGGATGTGCTCTTTGTCATGGGGTATCCAATTTAGGCTGCTGCTCCTGGATGCTGTGAGAAGCAATGATGTGTTTTTAATGTTGTTTTCCACCTGTTCTGTCCCTTTGAAAACAACCAAGCCAAAATCCCACTGTAAGGATTCATTGGAAACCTGGACTGAACTCTCAATTAGTTGGCTTCTTGTGCTGGTCCTGTTGAGTATTGATGTAAAAATGTCACAGTTCAGAGCCAGATGTAAATATTTTCCTAAGAGCGTTCCTAAAGCAATTTCTAAGGCAGTGCATTGGTAGCTGTTGTAGTAAACAGGAATATTTCCTTATCTCTCAATGCTCTGCTGTTTTCTATCTTTGGAGGGAGGTACAATTAGTGGTCCCAAACCCACCCAGAAAAAATGATTTGCAGGCCTAGCAGATAGTGGAAAAAAGCCTGGAAAGTATTTAGGGGAAAGATAATTATAAGTTTGCCACAGGAAAACAGGCTGGCTCAGCCTCTTTTTATCTCAGCAAGCTGCCAGGCTTGGTTTAAGATTTCTGGTAGCTTTGGCTAAAGGAATTGTGGTTTCCAGTAATTGAATGTCATTTGAAACATAGCAGTGGCTTTTGTTGTTTTTATTTTTTAAAGGCAGGGGAAACAGAGAACAAAAGCCACTAATAACAAAACAGAAGTCAGAGGAACAGAAATCATTAATAGCTGGATAACCAGAGGGTTTGGCAGCCCCAGGAAAAGGCAATTCCCTGCTGTGTGGGATGGCTGCTGGGATATCCCAGGTTCTGGGGGAACCTACCCAGGGAAAGAGACCCTTATCAAACCCCCTGAGGCTCTGAGGGATCCTAAATCTCTTATCTGGGCTTGCTGAGCCAGCTCACCTGGTGCAGGGTTAAATGTCCAGCTTTTAGGGCTGCACTTTCCACTGCATGGAGAATATTCTGAATTATTGCTGACAGCTTTCCACAGGGGCAGTAATCTCCAGTGGCTGAAGGAGGTGCCCCCCTTGTGCTCTGCCTAAGGCAGGTGAGCTCTGAAGAGGTGGCAGAAAGGTTTTCTTGCTTCTGGCTGTGTGTTCATAATTGAGAAAATAATTGAGTGTTTCTCTGTGTGTGTGGTTGTATAAAAAGTGAATTTTACTGGGAGGGCACTGGGGCTCCCTGTCCTTGCCCACACCTCAACTTTGGTTCTGCTCTGTCCCTCTCTTAGAGAATATGAAGAAAAAAAAAAAAAAAAAGAGATTCAAACTTGTTCTCCCTGCCTGCTTTTGAGAGATTTTTACACAGGACCTATTTTTAAAAAAATACATATTTTTAACATCCCACTTGAGCAAGGCATTCCTGCGAGTTTCTTAATTTAAGGATACGAGAATCCCCATTAAGATTATCCTTAAGTACTTTCCTGAATCAGAGCCTAAACCAACAAAGCTTGTGGACAGGGCTTTTAACTGCTTGACAGAGGCTCTTTTAAATGTGTTGAGTCTTGAGGAATCTGGCTGCTGCTCTTTTCAGTGCCTCCACTGTGCTGCACTGCAGCTGTTGTCAAACAGAAAGGTCCCCACAGCCACTCAGAGGGAAAGAAGTATCACTGCTAATGGCTTCCAGTTGTTCATACACACTCACTAATTTCTGTGACTCCTAATTCCACACACTTCTTGTTTCTGGATTATTTAAAAGATAAAAAAATTTCTTTTTTTTCCCCCCCACTTCTTTTCCTGGAGAATGAGAGATTTCTTTCTGTGATTCTCACATGAGCTACAAGTGCTTTCTTGTAGAATTTAAGCAGGAGTAAACCTGTAACTGTGGCTTCCTCCTTACTGATTAAATTCCCCACTTCCATTTCAACATATTGAATTAGATTTCAACATTTTCTTTCCCACTTATGAAGTTGTTAACTGGATGTCTTTACCTGGAAGAGTAGAGGAGTCTCTGAACATTCCTGTGAAGCAGAGAGCTTAAGTGAGAATTATTTTTGACACTGCAGGCAGGAAGCTTTTCCAACAAAATCCCCATAAATAAATCCTGAGGAAGGCAGGTCGTACATCCAGTTAAATCACAGATATAAATTTATATTTCAGCCATCAATTTTAAAGGACTGGAATTTTCTGCATTTGGCACCAGGAAAGAATCCAGCATTGTCAGATCATCTTGTGGATTTTTTTTTCTTTAATGGAACTCAAATGGGAAGATTAAAGAAGCAGATCATTCCTTGATAAGGTCGAGGAGTCTTAAACAAGCACAAAAAAAATTCCCAAGTCTTCTCCCCACAGTCTGAACAAACATTTTCACAACAGTAAATGTCGCCAGTCTTGCTAAAGTATCAATCTCAGTGGAAAAATCCAGTGTGTGAGTGATCAGCTCAGACCTTTCCAGTATAATAAAAACTGATGGAAGAATTCAAGGGCTGCAGAGGGATAGAAGTGCCTCACTGTTTGCTTTGGCACTTTCTAGTGTGTGTAGGCATTTCCATTTCCCTAGAAGTATCAATTAAGCTGTATTGACTTTTATTTCTGGAAATTGGAAGCTTTATTCTCTCAGCCAAATAAAGAGCAAGGTCGTGGTTTATTCTGCTCCCATTTCATACCTTTTGCTCTTTTGTGCTTCTCTGAGACACTGAGGATTTATGGGATAAAGCTGCTGCCAGCTGTATTCATTTAGAAGTGGATCAGCACACCTGGAGCTGTGAAAGGCTCATGGTGGAGATTGAGACGTTGTGAAGCTTTTTGCATGTTGGAAACATATTTCTGTTGAAATGTGGGCAACAGAAATGAATTTCAGTGTAGATCACACTGGCATTAAAGGCCTTTCAAAGAGCTGATTAAGTGGCTCTTATTGAAATATTAAATGGCAGCAGGACAGGAGAACCCAGGACATGTTCTGCTGCAGCAGAGGGCTCAGGAATTGCCATTCAGGGAGCAAAAAGTCTCCCAGTTTTGACACAGAGACCTTCTGGGTGTGGATATTTTCTCTTCAGCATCCTTTTGATCCCTTACAAACCTTCCTGCACCTTTCAGGGAGGTTTTTGAGGTCCCCCCAAAGCCTTTCCTGTGTCCCCTCAGGGTGAAGGCAGCACAGAACGAGTTGGGGCAGCAGATCCTGGCTGACTTCGAGGAGGCCTTTCCTTCCCAAGGTACAAAGGTAAAGTTCTCACTTTCCCTCTTCCTCCCATTGAAAAGTGTCACTGAACACTCTTCAGGATGATTGTGTTGTTGGATTTAGTCTCATTTTTCCTCTAGGTTTGGTCTCTGCCTGTTTCAGGAGTTTCTTTAGAAAGCAGAGGGTGATTTCTGCCACCCTTCCCTTCACCCTGCACCCAGCTCCTGCAAGAGGGCTGCAGCCAGGCAGGGAATGCCCAAAAATTCATCTCTGGGGTTTCCTTGGGGTCTCACCCAGTCCCTGGTGATTGGTTTGTCACAAAAATCAGTGTTTTGTTCAGGGGAAGCCAAGCACAGGCTGGCTGCTGACACAGTGCCACCGAGTTTGTGTCTGGTTTGCTCAGCACAGATGCAAATCTGGGCTGGGGCTAAAGCACCAACTGTGCTTCCCCAGCACTGTGCATCCAAACATTTGCAAACAGTAAGGGGAGTAGGTGTGAATTTGAATTTACTTCCAAGAAAACACCAGTTCTGTCTTTCACAGCACCAGCTCTGCTGGTTTCTTCATACAAGTGCAGAAATGAGGAACTCTTTGTGAAGGGCAAATCTGTGTCTGTGAGAAGCAGCACCAAAGCAGCTTTTTTTTTTAAAAAAAAAAAAGTTTCTAAATTTTCTGCCTTTACCATGAAACAGCTTCATGGTCAGTGAAATGGAAGCAGCTCAGTTTTCATGCAGCCATAAATAAAGAGTAGCAGCAGAAAAGAGAATAATAGGAAAGGATAAACTTGGATGCATTTACAATCACCCATTGAACTTATTTAACCTGAAATAATTTTCTTCCTGTTTATTTTGACAGAGGACTGGTGGGCCCAGCAATGTCCTACGTGATGCCTGCCTGGTAGCCAACGTCCTGGACCCCAGGATCAAACAGGAAATCATCAAGAAATTCATTAAACAACACCTCTCAGAGTATCTGGTCCTTTTCCAGGAAAATCAAGATGTAAGGGAAGCTTTGCAAGCTCCATTTGGATTTCACATTTTGCTCTGCTGGCATTCCCAAAGTTCTCACTTCCACAGGTTCCTGTGGTGAAAGGATTTTATCCCAAGGGCTTGGAAACTGATTCTGGGTGTGATTTGGAGTGGTTGATGAGCTGGGAGTTATCTCTGCCAGGATCCTCCCACCTTAGACCTCAGTTTCTCAGATCATCACTAGAAATGTTTTCTCCCACATATAGAAAATAAATTCGTGTTAGGTGTATTTCAATCCTGCAAAAGGTTGAAAAATGAAACTCTGAAAATTGAAATCTCAACACCACCCCCCAAACAATCAAGCAACACCCCAAAATGCTTAGGAAGCTGAGAGGGAGTGATTTCTAGAAAGTGAATTATCTTTATAGCTATTTTTTGAACTTCCTCTCCTGATACTAACAGCTTTCCAAAACTTTACCATAACCTTCTTGAATTTGGAAAAAAAGACCCACACAGACCAGAATCACCCTTAGATCAAAATGTATTTTATTAATTTCAAATGTTTGACATAGGCAGTTTAGCCAGTCTCTGTTCTAAGTTTAAATAACATTTTTCCATCAAAGTTTTCTGGATTAATCTTTCTACTTTTTGACTAGAAAACACAATTATTGAGGGGGAAAAATCCCATCCTGCTCAGCTTGTAAGAATTTTAGTTGGAATTTAAATGTGAGCTGAATGTAAGAATCCAGGAATTGCTGCTCTCTCATCCCACTCACTTTAACCTCTCTGTCTGAAACAAAGAGGGTGGGATCAAATGAAATATTATTGGATTGAGTTTTCAATAATCTCTGCATGATTTAGGAGCACTGTTATCCTCATTTTCAACAGAACTTGCTCTCTTAATTCGCACAAGATAGGATTTTCAGTCTGGCGTGTGTTTAAGCACTTGGAATCCCAGAATCATTGAGGTTGGAAAAGACTTTTCAGATCCTTGATTGCAACCCTTGCCAAGCCCACTGCTAAACCCTGTCCCTAAGTGCCACATCCACACAACTTTTCAATCCCTCCTGGGATGTGAGGCAATTCCCTGGGCAGCCTGTTCCAGTGCTTGATAAGCCTTTCAGTAAAGACATTTTTCCTAATATCCAAGTGGGGTTGATATTCTCTGAACCTGGGAGAAGCAGTGAGAGAAGCAAAGAATGATCAAAACAATTCTTATCTCAGTTACTGCTCCTGTGTTGTTGACAAGTGGAATGCATTGTGGAACATTGTTTACCTGAAGGGAATTGGTGACTGGATTTTTGGTGTGAGTGTTTTGATTCACTGCCCAATTGAATCCAGGTGTGTGTGCAGTGGAGATGAGTGCTTGGCAGATTCAGTTTAGATGTAATGTAATATAATATAGAATAATATAGTATAATCAAGTAATTAATTAACCTTCTGATAAGATGGAGTCCTCATCATTTCTCTCGGACATCGGGCAAAAATATCACCAATAATCCAAAGCATTCAGAGGATGTTAATCAATGTAAAATCACGAGACAGAGCAGAGCTGCAGCAGCAGCACAACTCTGAATATTTGCTAAAGATGCTGATGGTGCTAAAAAGTCATTTTCTCTGGGGTTCAGGTGGCCTGGCTGGACAAGATTGACCGGCGCTATGCCTGGATCAAGATCAATGTAAAATAATCAATGTAAAATCAGCTCTGATTGAGAGAGAGCAAAGCTGCAGGAGCAGCACAGCTCTGAATATTTGCTAAAATTGTTGGTGGTGTTAAAAAGTCTTTGTCCCTGGGGTTCAGGTGGACTGGCTGGACAAGATTGACCGGCGCTATGTGTGGGTCAAGATGTTAATCAGTGTAAAATCACCTCTGATTGAGAGAGAGCAGAGCTGCAGCAGCACAGCTCTGAATATTTGCAATATTTGCTTCTGCTAAAGTTGTTGGTAGTGCTAAAAAGTCTTTGTCCTTGGAGTTCAGGTGGCCTGGCTGGACAAGACTGACCGGTGCTATGTGTGGGTCAAGATGTTAATCAGTGTAAAATCACCTCTGATTGAGAGAGAGCAGAACTGCAGCAGCAGCACAGCTCTGAGTATTTGCTAAAATTGTTGGTGGTGTTAAAAAGTCTTTGTCCCTGGGTTCAGGTGGCCTGGCTGGACAAGATTGACCGGCGCTATGCCTGGATCAAGAGGCAGCTGGTGGATTATGAGGAGAAGTACGGGCGCATGTTCCCCGCAGAGTG